GGGAGCGGGTGGGGGTGGGTGGGGGGTGGGGAGAGCAGTGAGGGGCGACGGCGCGGCTTCCCTCCCTCCCCTCCCGAAGCCGGAGAGCTGCCGCCAGTCACACAGGGCAGCGGGCAGGCGGCGGGAGAACGGCGCGGCTTCCCTCCCTGCCTCCCGGCCCGCCCGGAGTCCCTCGCAAGTCCCACAGAGCGGGAGAGGGGCAGCCAAGCGCAACGGTTCTCGCGCCGCCCCTTCAGGCCTCCGAGGGTCTGTTCTTGGGGGGGGGGAGACAGAGAATGGGGGAAAGACAAACACGGGGGGGAAGAGAGAGAAGGGGGAAAGAGAGAGACTCCCCCGCGAGTATCGCAGGTCCCCCCGCGAGTATCGCAGGTCCCCCCTCTTGTTGGGTTCTATTCTTTTACTCTGCATATTTTTCAAGGCCCGTTCCCTATGAGGATTGTGATTTGCAAGGACCATGTGATGATCGCTCAACTTATCTCTGGACTTTTACTTGCTGTTTTAACGGCTGTTAGGCCGTGTCTTATACTGATGTTCCGATGCTTAAGACCTTTGGTCGGATGAGCTCATAAACGAAAGGAAAGGCATCTGTCCAAGGGGGGGGGGGGGAATCCCACAGAAGGGAAACCCGGGGCCACAGCTCCAGCACCACAGACAGGAAGGGGACCTTCCCTTCCCAGCAGCCCTTGCACTTAACACTGAAAAACTCTCTCCAGGTTCTAGTTCTGTCTCTTCCTTGCTAGGAAATAACCGCAAAGCCTCCAGACAGGGCCGGGGAAAACTGCACATACAACCCACCCACCACCCACCCCGTCTGCGTTTGCCGTGTTGTCGCCGCTAACCGGAAAGCGAACAAGCCTCTGAACAAAGCCACAGCATTCAACGGGCCCCGAAGTGGGGCATTATGTCAGTGCCCCCTAGGAGAGGCCGGTTCCCCCTCATTAGCCGGGGGCCTCTCACCACTCGCGTCCCCGGCCGGCGCGGGGTCCCCCGCCCCCCCCCCCCGCCAGAGCCTCCCTCATTAGGCCTACTTGAGTATTCTCGGAGACAGCGCAGATCAATGGTGACCTATTCCCTGCGCGGCAGGGAAGCCAGCCTAGATTTCAAGATGTCCTACATAGCCGCCTCCTGAAGAAGCTCTCTAAACTGAGCCGTGTGTTGTCGTCGCCCCCCAAATCCTGAGGCGGGTGCTCCTTCCTTCCCGTCCCACCCCCTCCTCTGGAAACGCGTCTGTCCCCTTATTCCAATGCCACAACGCTTTGCTTTCCCTCGTTATCATTTTCGCTTCTCATCTGCAGAAGGTGGAAAGGAAAAAAATCCCACGTTCGGCACGGAGGTCACTGAAGTCGCTTCCTTCATAAATGTTTATATAAAGTTAATTTTCCACGTTCTTTTCTCCGGGCCCCACACAGAAACATTGTCTGGTTCCTTCGCAGACGTCGCAAGAGACCGCCTTTCATTACATGAGCCTCATCACCCGTCCAGAGCTACCGGCAGTGTTCCCTCTAAGCTGAGTTAGTGTGAGCCAGCTCACAGTTTTTTAGCCTCTGGCTCACACATTTGTGTCTTAGCTCAGGAAGGAGGGCTCCAGAACAAACTAACTTATGCAGTAGCCAAATCGCTGGCTCACAACTTTAATGCCAGTAGCTCACAAAGTAGAATTTTTGCTCACAAGACTCCACAGCTTAGAGGGAACATTGGCTACCGGTCGAGCTTTTCCCCAAGGAAGGGACCCAAACCGGGGGGGCGGGACACAGCTTTTTCAGCCACAACTCTGAGGCTCCGGCACAAGCAGCCAGGGACTGTGAGTCATGCGGCCCAACAGATTTGAAGGAATCATAGAATGTTAAGAGATGGAAGGGACCTTGCAGGTCATCAGGTCCAACCCCCTGCACTCTGCAGGAGCACAGCCGAAAGAGAGCCCCTACAACATACCCGGAAGAGGGTCATCCAGCCTCCGCTTGAAAACATCCAGCAAAGGAGCATCCACCACCTCCTGAGACAGTCTGCTCCACTGCTCAACCACTCTCACAGTTAGGAAGTTTCTCCCGATATTCAGCCGGTATCGACTCCCTTGTAATTTCCACCCATGGGACCTAGTCTTGCAATCCGGAGCAAGAGAGAAGAGATCTGCTCCATCTTCTACATGACAGCCCTTCAGATACTTGAAGACTCCAATGTTCCCTCTAAGCTGTGGAGTTATGTGAGCAAAAAATTCTCCTTTGTGAGCTACTGGCATTAACGTTGTGAGCCAGGAATTTGGCTGCTGCATAAATTAGTTTGCTCTGGAGCCCTCCTCCCTGAGCTGAGACAAAAATGTGAGCCGGAGGCCAAAAAAGCTCGCACTAACTCACCTTAGAGGGAACACTGATCATGTCCCCTCTAAGCCTTCTCTTTCCCAGGCTAAACAGACCCAACTCTTTCAGCCTTTCCTCGTAAGACTTGGATTCCAGCCCTCTCACCACCCTGGTCGCCCTCTTCTGGGCACGCTCGAGCTTGTCAACATCCTCCCTACAATGTGGTGCCCAAATCTGGACACAGGACTCCAGGTGAGGCCTGACCAGAGCAGAATAGAGCGGAACGACCACCTCCCGTGACCTGGACAGCATGCTTCTGTTCATGCCTCCTAAGACTGCATTCGCTTTCTTCAACACACAAAGTCAAGCAGCCACTCAGAGGGGAGCAGAAAAGAGCAAGAGCCCAGGAGCACCTGAAAGACTAACAAAATTTGCGGCAGGGGACCAATGCTCCCTCTAAGCTGTGGGGTCTTGCGAGCAAAACCTCTACTTTGTGAGCGAGGGATTGTGGGCTCCGGCGTAAACTAGTTTGCACTGGAGCCATCCTTCCTGAGTGAAGATAGAAATGTGTGAGCTGGAGGCTAGAAAAACCGTGAGCTAGCTCACACGAACTCAGCTTAGAGGGAACACTCCAAGGGAGGAGCCCCCGTGAGCCACTGCTCACTTCTTCAGAAAAGGAGGCCACAGTGGGCTTTTCATGGCGAATCTGAGTTTTCCCTCTGGGACCAAAAGTCGGGGGAGAGAGAGCATCTTATGAATGTACTTTTCAGAAGCCACCGCCCCCTTTGACAAAGGGCTGGGCATAAGCAGCACATACTTCACAAGGGGAGGGGCTCTTCAATTCAGCAGACTCCGGATGATACAGGAGAAGATGCCTTCTCCCCACCCCTGCAGGTGTCGGACGAGGGGCCAGAGAATTCTGCACAGCAGTGCCATTAGCAACTTGGATCACAGAATCTGAGCGTTCCACATACACAGAATCACGGAATGTTAGAGTCGGAAGGGACCTTGCAGGTCATCCAGTCCAGCCCCCTGCACTCTGCAGGAGCACAGCCAAAAGAGAGCCCTGCAACATACCCGGAAGGGGGTCATCCAGCCTCCTCCGCTTGAAAACGTCCAGCAAAGGAGCCTCCACCACCTCCCGAGGCATACTGCTCCACTGCTCAACCACTCTGACAGTTAGGAAGCTTCTCCTGATATTTAGCCAGTATGGACTCCCTTGTCATTTCCACCCATTAGATCTAGTCTTGCAAGCCGGAGCAAGGGAGAACAGATCCACTCCATCTTCTACACGACAGCCCTTCGAATATTTGAAGACTGCTTTAAAGATGGCCCGCTCCCGTCAGATCTTGGGTCGGCCCTGCTTGGTCCTCGGAAGGGAGGCCACCAAGGAAGCCCAGGGTTGCTACGCAGAGGCAGGAAACGGTAAACAACCTCTGAGAGTCTCATGCCTCGAAAACCCCATGACGGGTTGCCGTAAGCCAGCGGCAACTGAACAGTACTTTGCACCACCATAAGAACCTCGCCTCTGAGCAGAGGTGGTTTATCTACACAAGCTGCCTTCAGCTCGGTAAGGTGGCTAACAAATAGGCTGTCGAAGGCTTTCACGGCCGGAGTTCATTAGTAGCTGTAGATTTTCCGGCCACACAACCCGGAAAATCTACAGCAACTAACGGCTAATAAATGTTTAAATTAAATTATACCCTTTGTGCACAGCGGGGTAGGTTGGAACCAGTGTTCCCTCTCAGCTGAGTCAGTGTGAGCTAGCTCACAGCTTTTTAGCCTCCGGCTCACAGGGGGTTTTTTGTCTTCGCTCAGGAAGGAGGGCTCCAGAGCAAACTCGTTTAACCAAATCGCTCGCTCACACAACTTCAAGGCCAGTAGCTCACCAAGTAGAATTTTTGCTCACAGGACTCATAACATAAGAACATAAGAGACGCCAGTGTTGGATCAGGCCAAAGGCCCCTCCAGTCCAACACCCTGTGTCACACAGCGGCCAGAAATACCAGGGGCCCTCAGGAGGTCCACCAGTGGGGGCAGGACATTAGAAGCCCTCCCACTGTTGCCCCCCCCAAGCACCAAGAAGACAGAGCATCACTTGCCCCAGAGCCCCTATCTATACCTTGTGGCTAATAGCCACTGATTATGCTTATCTAATTCCCTCTTGAAGCCGTCCATGCTTGTAGCCGCCACCACCTCCTGTGGCAGTGAAGTCCGTGTGTTAATCACTCTTTGGGTGAAGAAGTACTTCCTTTCATCCATTCTAACCCAACCGCTCAGCAATTTCATGGAGTGCCCACGAGTTCTTGTATTGTGAGAAAGGGAGAAAAGTACCTCTTTCTCTACCTGCTCTTTCCCATGCATAATCTTGTAAACCGCGATCATGTCACCCCTCAGTCGTCTTTTCTCCAAGCTAAAGAGCCACAAGCGCCTTAACCTTTCCTCATAGGGAAAGTGTTCCAACCCTTTTATCATTCGAGTTGCCCTTTTCTGCACTTTTCCCAAAGCTATAATATCCTTTTTAAGGTGTGGTGCCCAGAACTGCACACAGTATTCCAAATGAGGTCGCACCATTGATTTATACAGGGGCATTATGATATTGGCTGGGCTGTTTTCAATACCCTTCCTAATAATCCCCAGCATAGCATTGGGCTTTTCTGACTCCAGAGCTTAGAGGGAGCCTGGGTTGCAACCAAACAGAAGCTCCGCTTCCAGGGCTCGTGATTCGTCTCAGCAAAGAGAGGAAAAGGGAGCAGAGCCGGGAAAGCGGGACGCGACTCTGCCAACGGTGCCCGGAGGCCTCAGCTTGGCTGCAAAACCCCACCACCACCACCACACACACACACAGCCAGCTTTTCCGTTGGTGCAAACCTCCAGATGGCCATTACTAGGGCGTCAAATGCCAAGGTCACTTAACAGCTGTCTGGGAGCTGCTACAATCCTCCCCGATCTTCTGACGGGCACAGATGCCGCCTGCCAGCCAGGCCGGAGAGCTCTGGGAGAAGGGAATGGCTCCCCCTGCCCCCCTCCCCTCCAAACTCCTGGCCTTGGCAGATTTAAGCCACCGTCAAAGCGTTCCCTTTCACCACCTCTAGCTCAGCAGAACCGTCCGGTTTTGAAATTAACTCCACTGCGTGGGATTCCGTTCACCGCCCCCACTACAGCAGCATCTTCAAGCCCAGCACAAAAAGAGGAAAGGTAGCTTCACATTTCTTTTTTTTTTTGGGGGGGGGGGGCGGCTTCCAAGAGCCTCTTCCCGGCTTCGCATAAAGCTGCTGAGCTGCAGACCAGGAGGTCGGTAGCTCAGCAGTTCGAGACCCGAGTGCCGCGTGACGGAGTGAGCTCCCGTCTCTGGCCCCAGCTCCTGCCGACCTAGCAGTGTGAAAGCAAGAAATTGCAAGTAGATAAACTGGTACCGCTTCGGTGTGAAGGTAACAGCATTCCATGCGCCTTGGCGTCTGGTTGTGCCAGCCACATGACCACAGAGAAGTCTTCGGACAGCGCTGGCTCTTCGGCTTGGAAACGGAGATGAGCACCGCTCCCTAGAGTCGGATTTGACTGGCTTTCGAGCAAGGGAAACCTTTACCTTTCCCTTTACTGACGGAAGAAGATGTCTGACCTGGTGCTTCAACGCAGTCCTGCTTGTGTGAACACCTTTCAAGGAAGCAAATGCTTTCGCATCCAGCACGTCAGCAGAGATGCTGCCTCTTTGCATCTGCAAACATAACTTTGCCCCCCCCCCCGAGGGGGGCAGACACTACAGAGCCCAGGCCAGATTGCTGCCCCCAATCTAATGGACAAACGGATTTATGTTCGTCCAAAGCAGCCTCCGCAACAGGGATTCTGACAGGGCCTCCGCTGCAAGCTGCCCCCCTCAGAGGTGCCTCCTTGCGACCGGAAAGGTCCCACAAGCTTCACCTTCGTCCCACAAGCAACACCCCCATTCCAGGAAAACCCCCGAACTGCTGATGTTGCTCCAGAACAACAAATCCACACTAACTCCAGGTGGGATGCTTCCCCCATTCCTGGCCGTAAAAAGACTTTCGGCAGAGCATGCTGACTGCAGGCTGAGGTCAGACAAAAGGCCAAAGAAAACCGACTGGCTTCTGAAATGGGCAATTTCAACTGCAAGGACGTGCATCACACGCGATAGGCGCATTGTTTTATGGAACCGGAGGAGCCCTGACTACAGAATTGGGCGCACTAACGGGGATGCCAAACTCACTGGAAATGCGTTATTTAAAGGTTTTTTTTTAAAAAAAAACTTTAATTGTGTTTGTCTGCGTCCTTTATAAAGTTTATCTCTCCGCTACCTGGCATTACCTTTTATAACACATAACCCGGCCCAACAAAGTCTCATTTATGTCAGATCCGGCCCTCACAACAAACAAATTCGACACCCCTGGGCTAGAATATTCCTGCTATGGCAGAGTTCTCCTTGGACTCGGGCTGAGCCTTGTGAAGTTTTAGCACAGGGGCACTAAGGAGGAAAACTGTGAGCTGCCGGACTCCTTCTGCACAAGCCCCTTTGCACCGCTGATCGGCATACTAGGATTGAATGCAAACTCCACCGTCAACGGAGGGATCGCAGACACCAGTCTCGGCTTTGCCTACATTTCTAGGGTCCCCTAGATCACAGCCTTCAAACAGGAGGGCGGGAGAGGGAGGCAACAGCCGGACACGGCTATCTCCCTGGCTGCCTTTCTCCGCGCCTCAGCCATTCCTGAACCTCCTTCCCCACGGCTGCATCTCAGCTGCAAAGGCGGCGACGGATTCAGCCGCCGATGCGGCATCAGAAGGTGGTCCGGCTGAGCCCAACGCCCAGACTTCCTCCTCCCGAACCCTTTGGCTCCAGTTCCCCTCTGACTCACTCTGAAATGCTGCTAGGACACCACTGCGGCGGAGACGCTGAAACGCTATTAGGACCCTCAGAAGGCTCTCGGAAAGGGGAGGCGGAAAGCCAGAGCCTCTCAGCACCTCCGCTTGGTGCTGCATTTCAGGAAACCAAATTAAATGCGCTCAATTATACACACAGAAAGGCCCTGGAATCCAAGGGGGAGCCGGTACTAAATGAGACGGCGCTCGCGGGAGCGTAAGGAGGGACGTGCCGGGCTCGCGGCCGCGGAAAGGATATCAGTGTTGTCGTGCCCGAGAAGCCCCAGGAGGGAGTGGATGGCGTTCAGTTCGACCAGCAGGTGGTAGAGGTCCGGCATCGTGGCGATCACGTGCATCTCCTGGATGATGTCGTTCAGGTCCAGCTCTGACTCCATGAACCTGTGGGCGGGAGAGAGACAGCACCGCTAGACAGCTTAGACAGGAACTCCTCGTGGGCACCCCGTGACATTGCTGCGCGGTCGGGTTAGGACAGGTAAAAGGAAGCCCTGCTTCGCAATAGATAGGAACTCTTCGGTCTGGGGCAAGGGATACTCTGTGTTCTTAGTGCTTGGGGGGGTCAAGAGTGGGAGGGCTTCTAGTGTCCTGGCCCCACTGCTGGACCTCCTGATGGCACCTGGTATTTTTGGCCACTGTGTGACACAGAGTGTTGGACTGGAGGGGCCATTGGCCTGATCCAGCATTGGCTTGTCCTATGGTCTCATGTCTGGGGCAAGGGATGCTCTGTCTTCTTGGTGCTTGGGGGGGGGGCAACAGTGGGAGGGCTTCTAGCGCCCTGGCCCCACTGCTGGACCTCCTGGTGGCACCTGGTATTTCTGGCCACTGTGTGACACAGAGTGTTGGACTGGATGGGCCATTGGCCTGATCCAGCATTGCCTACTCTTATGTTCTTAATATGGAGCAGAGGTCCATCAGTGGCTCTTAGCCACAAGGTATGGATAGGAACCCTCAGTCTGGGGCAAGGGATGCTCTGTATCCTGGGTGCTTGGGGGGGGGGAACTGTGGGAGGGCTTCTGGTGTCCTGGCCCCACTGCTGGACAACCTGGTGGCACCTGGCATTTTTGGCCACTGTGTGACACAGAGTGTTGGACTGGATGGGCCATTGGCCTGATCCAGCATTGGCGTCTCTTATGTTCTTATCACCAGAGGCCCTCAACATGGTGCGGGAGACACTGTTCCTGGCCCCTGCCACATGGTTTTAGAAAGTAGGGGGAAATGTACCACTCAACAGTTACCTCTGCTGGGAATTGCCCCCTCCCTGTTCACTCATGTTGCAGACATTTATTTACAAAATCTGCATCCCACCTTTCTGCCCTCACAAGGGACACCAAGGCGATTCACAATTTAAAACAGACATATTTAGTTATTTATTATTTATTTATTTAATTTATATCCCGCCTTTCCCGCGGCAGCAGACTCAGGGCCGCTAAAAACCATGTCTAAAAAACGTCACCATCACCCCTTCCCTGAACACACACCATTAAAAGAAAAATTAAAAACAGCGGCACATCCGGGGCGAGAGCTTGTGACGGGCCCAAGGTCACCCAGCAAGCTTTCACGGAAGAAGTGGGGATTCGAACCTGGGTCACCCAGGATGCTAGCCTGCCACTCTGTCCACCGCCCCACATCGTATCACACTTAGGAGACTGAGCAAGAAGCCCTTCAGTTCACTCCAGAGTCATGAGAGCGGTCGGAAGATACAACCCTACAAGCTCAGAGGTAATCCAGTTAAGGAACAGGCTAGAATTATACATTTAATATTAATAGTTGTATTATTGCGGGTGAGTGTTTGGTGAGGAGGCACACAGGGAATGCAACACCCACGTGGCTTTTTTGGTTGATGAAAATGTGGCTCTCCTCCACAAGCTGTACAGCGAGTCCCCCCTGCATTACAAGCTTATTGCATCACGGGCTGGACCTCCGACACATCACAGCCTTTCTGGGCCCCGCCAGCAGCTCTTCTCGCCTCTGTGCCCGTGTGAACCAGTGTTCCCTCTAAGCTGAGTTAGCGTGAGCTAGCTCACAGTTTTCTAGCCTCCGGCTTATACATTTTCGTCTTTGCTCACGAAGGAGGGCTCCAAAGCCAACTAATTTCTGCAGCAGCCAAATGGCTCGCTCACAGCTTTAATGCCGGTGGCTCACAAAGTAGAATGTTTGCTCACAGGACTCCACAGCTTAGAGGGAGCACTAGTATGAACACCAATCTCGGTGCCACTCCACGCTGTCTGATGCCACGAGAAGTCTTTTAACTTTATTTGTTTCACCGCAGCAGACTAATCTGGCTCTCCTCTCGGGGATTCATTTATTCTGAGACGTCTTTCCAGGCTGTTCTTGGCCGTTACCCACCCGCTGGAATGTATCGACTCTGGAAAAGGTCTTTTTCGCTAACTGGCCTTTCCTTCACACTTAAGCGAACTCTGGAGGGAATCGCGGGGAGGGGGGGAGCCAGTATAATTCTGCGTCCTGCTGGGTCGAGGACTTGTGGCAGAGCACAAAGGCTGTGCCGTTACACCCCACCTCTGCCAGTCTGAAGAGGCAGAGAGGCAGCCCAACAAGTCACCACACTTCAGAAGGATATTACAGCATTGGGAAAAGTGCAGACAAGGGCAACTAGAATGATTAAAGGGTTGGAACTATTTCCCTATGAAGAAAGGTTAAAGCGCTTGGGGCCAGTTCGGTGTAGTGGTTAAGTGCACAGACTCTAATCTGGGAGAACCAGGTTTGATTCCCCACTCCTCCACTTGCACCTGGCTGGGTGACCTTGGGCAAGCCATAGTTCTGATAAGAGCTGTTCTTGAAAAAAGAGCAGTTTCTGTCCAGAGCTCTCTCAGCCCCACCTATCTCACAGGGTGTCACTTGTGGGGAGGTGAAGGAAAAAGGAGTTTGTAAGCCGCTCTGAGACGCCTTTGGGTAGTGAAGGGCGGCGTATAAATCCAATCTCTTATCGTCTTCTTCTCTTTAGCTTGGAGAAACGACGGCTGAGGGGTGACATTATCGAGGTCTATAGGATTATGCATGGGATAGAGCAGGTTGAGAAAGAGGTACTTTTCTCCCTTTCTCACAATACAAGAACTCCTTGTGGGCACTCCATGAAACTGCAGAGCGGTCGGGTTAGAATGGATAAAAGGGAGTCCTTCTTCACCCAAAGATTGATTAATATGTGGAATTCACCGCCACAGGAGGTGGTGGCGGCTAGAAGCATGGACGGCTTCAAGAGGGAATTGGATAAACATGCAGAGGTCTATTTCTGGCTATTGGCCACAAGGTATAGATAGGAACTGTCGGTCTGGGGCAAGGGATGCTCTGTATTCTTGCTGCTTGGGGGGGGGGGCAACAGTGGGAGGGCTTATAGTGTCCTGGCCCCACTGCTGGACCTCCTGAAGGCACCTGGTATGTTTGGCCACTGTGTGACACAGAGTGTTGGACTGGAGGGGCCATTTGGCCTGATCCAACACTGTCTTCTCTTATGTTCTTGTAAGAGGGAATTGGATAAGCATATGGAGCAGAAGTCCATCAGTGGCTATTGGCCACAAGGTACAGGTAGGAACTCTCGGTCTGGGGCAAGGGATGCTCTGTATCCTTGGTGCTTGGGGGGGGGCAACAGCGGGAGGGCTTCTGGTGTCCTGGCCCCACTGCTGGTCCTCCTGATGGCACCTGGTCTTTGTGACACAGAGTGTTGGACTGGAGGGCCTTTGGCCTGATCCAACATTGGCTTCTCTTATGTTCTTATAAAATGGAATTGGATAAACATATGGAGCAGAGGTCCATCGGTGGCTCTTAGCCACAAGGCATAGATAGGAACTCTCAGTCTGGGGCAAGGGATGCTCTGTCTTCTTGGTGCTTGTGGGGGGGGGCAACAGTGGGAGGGCTTCTAGTGTCCTGGTCCCACTGCTGGACCTCCTGAGGGCACCGGGTATTTTTGGCTACTGTGTGTCACAGAGTGTTGGACTGGAGGGGCCATTGGCCTGATCCAGCATTGGCTTCTCTTGTGTTCTTCTGTTCTTGAGAGAGAGACCTGGGAAGCTGTGCAGGAGCTGGCCCCGGTATGAGGCAGCAAACCTGCAGACTGGTAGAAAAACCAGGAAGGCTGGTGAGCGGAGGGGGGAAACACAGGAGGGGAGATGCTATCTCCATCACGGCAAGAGGCCGGAGTCGACTCCGGAGAGGAGGGGAGGGGAGGGGAAGGAGCGGCTCCTGCCATTCGAGAAACTGCCGCTCAAAGAGGTCTCCAGCAGAGCAGCAAAGTTGCCCCCCTGTAGCGCAGCTCGGCCCTCCACCTTCCCAGGACGGGGCTGTGTGTGCAAACTGCTCTCCCGAGTGAGCTGTCAGCTGTGGTCTGAAGAGCCGTTTGCATCTTTGGCAGCTCTGAGCCCCGTGTGAAAGTGATGCAAAACGGATGCGGCTGAGTGGAGAGGGCTGCGCCTGGCAGGTGGCAACCAGCAAAAACCACCCCTGGGCCAGGGCAGGAGGGGCCGAGGGGGCGCGACAAGAGGCTGCTGCAGCAGCGGCGGCGACATGGGATCGCAAACCCACGTGAAAAGGAGGAGGAACACCAGGAGAACGGGAAGGAGCCCCAGGGCTGAGAGCTCTACCGAGGGAGCCAAGCGTCCCCCTGCTCCGCTGGTGCGCCTACGCAGATGGTCCTTTTCTTTCTTGGAAACGTTTCCCTCCCGCCTGGGATCTGAGGCTGCTTGGCCTCGGGCGAGCCCCGCCCCCTATCAACAATACAGAGGCAACTGTTTGGCCCGCCTAACAGAGCTGTTGTAACCAGAAGATGAACACCCTAAAATATATTGAATTATTGAATTGAATACACTCCATATATTGCAGCAGCAGGAGGAGGAGGAGGAGGAGGAGATTGGGTTTATACCCCGCCCTTCACTACCCAAGGGAGTCTCAGAGTGGCTTCCAAACTCCTTCCCCTTCCCACAACAGACACCCTGTGGGGTAGGTGGGGCTGAGAGAGCTCTGACAGAAACAGCTCTTTTTCAAGGACAGCTCTTGTAAGAACTACGGCTTGCCCAGGGTCATCCAGCAGCTGCAAGTGGAGAAGTGGGGACTCCAACCCGGTTCTCCCAAATTAGAGTCCGCGCATGTAACCACGACACCAAGCTGGCTCTGGGGGCGTGGCCCTGCCTGCGATAGGCCCAGAGTGCCTCCTGAACAATTTCTGTCTCCCTTGCTCCCCTTCCCCACCACTCATGGGCAGACAGGTGGCTGTCAAAGGGCCAGTTGTAAGGGGGGGGGCTCAGTCTTAAAGGGCCTGGCGCCACTGATCAGCTGGCTGGTTTGCGGCTCTTTATAAGGGCCATCCGCCACGCCACTGGGCCTGACGGATGCCAGGCTCTCTCTTTCTGTGCCGCAAGCTCCCCTTTAATGCTTTATTGCAGAAGCTTCCTCGACGAACCCTACCCTACCTTCAAACACGGTTGCTGATTTACACCTGGCAGGTAGAAGATGCACAATGAGATACGTTCCCCTTTCATGTCCCTGCCTTTCAGATACCGGCCGCGGCGGGAGTCCCTCGCTGTATACAGATCTGCGCTGAATATCAGCTTGCCCGACTGTGTGTCTCGGAACAGAGGCTGACCTGTCTCGCTGACTGAAGTCACGTCACCGGGCGCCTCTCTTCAGTTCACTCCAACTCAGCCTGACTTGAAGCGGCATTTAGAAATCCCGGGAACTGCCGCAGCCCGGCCGACGCACGGCTTTGACGGCCCCAGGAAACAAAGGGGTTCTGGAGAGCTTTTGCCCCGCTTTCCAAAGCAAGTTCCTCGGAATGAAGAACAACTCTACTCTGCTCTACCTTCTGATGTTTCTCTCTGACTGCCATCGGTGGCCACTTTGTCACACCGGTCGAAGAAGATGCAGCAGCTGCTGCTGCTGCTGCTGACAATGGTGTTTCTTGCTGAGACTTCAGGAGGATTACAAATTGTGAATCAAGCATAATGGCCAGGATGGGGCATCCAGTGAAGACGACAATAAGTTCTGGACCACAGAAATCTCTAGCAGAGGTGAAACCTTTTCAACCTGATATGCCAGTTTGGTGTCGTGGTTAAGTGTGCGGACTCTAATCTGGGAGAACCGGGTTTGATTCCCCACTCCTCCACTTGCACCTGCTGATGTGACCTTGGGTCAGTCACAAGCTCTGGCACAGCTGTCCTTGAAAAAGAGCAGTTTGTGTCAGAGTTCTCTCAGCCCCACCCACCTCACAGGGTGTCTGTTGTGGGGAGGGGAAGGGAAAGGAGTTTGTAAGCCGCTCTGAGACTCCAAGTGAAGGGCGGGGTATAAATCCAATCTCTTCTTCTTCTTCTTCTTCTACGCTCGGTGGTGTAGAAATTACCTACTCTGGCGCAGACGTACAGTGACAGGCAAGCGAGACCGTAGTACCGGCCAATGCTCCCTCTAAGCCAGGGGTGTCAAACATGCAGCCCGGGGACCGGATCAGGCCCCCGGAGGGCTTCTATCAGGCCCGCAGTGGAACTGGCTGTCTTCTGCTTCTTCTTCCAGTTCTGCTACCGCTGCGTCATCGTAGGTTTGCGGCTTACACCTGAACAGCATCCTCAAGATTGCAAGAGCACAGACATTTTGGTGTAATAATTCAGAGCAAGAGGTGTCAGTTATCAGGCACTGTTAAATAAACAAAATATTGCAAGAGGGCTCATGTTTTAAGCATGTTTTTATTTTAAGTAAAAAAAACCACCCCTTTGTGTTTGTGTCCTTTATAAAGTTTATATCTCTGCTACCTGGCATTACATTTGATGACACGCATAGCCCAGCCCGACAAGCTCTCATTTATGTCAGATCCGACCCTCGTAACAAATGAGTTCGACACCCCTGCTCTAAGCTGTGGAGACCTGTGAGCAAAAATTCTACTTTGTGAGCTCCTGTCATTCAAGTTGTGAGCGAGCCCTTTGGCTGCTGCATAAATTAGTTTGCTCTGGAGCCCTCCTTCCTGAGCTAAGACAAAAAAGTGTGAGCCGGAGGCTAAAAAACTGTGAGCTGGCTCACACTAACTCAGCTTAGAGGGAACACTGGTACAGGCCTCAGTCCCCGCCCCTTTCCCAAGGCAACTTTCTGGACCATTTCATTACAGTGCAGCCCTGCTGACCCGTGCAAACAAAGACCTCTTGAAGAATTCTGTGTGGCATCGTCTGTGGAAAGCTAGGAGAGGGGGAGCCCGCCTGACCTCCGTGGGCAGGCCAGCGTGGTGAAGTGGTTAAAGTGTCAGACTAGGATCTGGGAGATACAGGTTCAAATTCCTACTCAGGCCATGAAAACTTGCTGGGTGTCCTTGGGTCAGTCACACACTCTCAGCCTAACCTACCTCACGGGGTTGTTGTGAGGACAAAACAGAGTTGAGGAGAATGATGTACGCCACTTTCGGTCGCCACTGGGGGCAAAAGGTGGGATACAAATGAAGTGAATAACGCCCTGAAGTGGATAGCCCAGGCAAGCCCCGTCTCTCGGGAAGCTAAGCAGGGCCGACCCTGGCAAGTACTTGGAAGGGAGACCTCCAGAGAATACCAGGGCTGGGAGGCAGAGGCAGGCCTATGGAGCCACTCCTCTGAATGTCCTCCGTGCCCCAGTAGGAGTCGCCAGAGGTCGCCATGACTTCCAGGCACCGGGACACATACGAACACACACGAACACCACAAAATATACAACTATATAAAATTCCATAAAGTAAGGGCCACAAGAGAGAACGCACGAGTACGGGCAGAAACCAAAAATCCGGCAAGTCTTACTTTTCAGGATTGTCGGGGAACTTGATCCGAAGTTCCTGGTTCTTGTAGGACCTCTTCTCGAAAGTGAGGATCATCTTCTTGACTGAGCTTTCGTCCAGAGGCTCCTCCTGGCCAAAGAGAGACACGGCTGAAGATCCTTCGCTTGGCACGCAGGAGGTCCCAGGTTCGATCCCCGGAACCTCCCGTTAAAAGGGTCAGATAGGAGGAGATGGAAAAGGCCTCTCTCCGCCTGAGACCCTGGAGAGCCGCTGCCAGTCTGAGTAGACAAGACTGGCTTTGACGGACCGAGGGTCTGATTTGTTTCCCCACCAACCCGTACCGTGTGCTGGACCCCCACTTGGGCAGGAGTCCCCTCCCGTCCGGCAAAAGCAGACTATCGGCCCTCGACCCAACCCCCTTTTAGCAAAAAGAGCAGCCCCTCGACTGCTACAGCATCAGAGAGGACAAAACTCCCTTTCCTGCAGGGCGAGGGAGGGAAGAAGAGAAAGTCGTGCGCTGGCGAATCCGGATGGGAAGGATGCCCACCCGAGTGCTGACTGCAGGGGCCCATGGAAACCAGGGTGCCCACTGTCTGGACCAAGGACAAACACTCTCCCGTTCTCAGGCGCTGAGCTCACAGCCGCCGGGGGCCTCGGGGTTCTCACTGGGTCCTTTGCTGAGGCTCTTTTACATCTGGGTTTCTCTCAAGGATGCAGACAGACACTCAGCAGACACTCCCAGCGTGGTCGGTTAAGAAATACCTCTGCATTTATTTGAATCCTTCAAATAACTAAGAGTGTTTGCTCGGCAGAAACCACTCACGAATTACAGCAATGGCAAAAAAAACCCACGACACTATACTTGCACTGGGCAGAGGCTGAGCCCGAAGCATTAACTCCTTGGTGGCTTCCTTCACTGGGGTAATCTTGTGACTACTGCCCAGTTAGGTAGCCCCCTGGCAGCCACGTAAAGGCATCCTATGCAGCTGGTCAAGGCCACCAGGCGTTTTTAATTAACGCTCAGCCCAAGCAGGCTGCAACCAACCTGTGAAAACTTATAGCTTGGTCGCATTAATGACAGCCTGAGATCTGTAAGTTCTAACCCTTACACCCACCCACACCTTTCCAGGCACCCACCAAGTGTTTTGGAAAGTGAGTGGGGGCCAGGTGGGGCCGGTGCCTGGCAAGGCTTCTGATTGGCCACTGGAGAGTGGATTGGCTGTACAGCTTTAGGGGGGGAAATTCCATGGGAGCAGCTACCACCACCAATGTTCCCTCTAAGCTCTGGAGTCTTGTGAGCAAAAATTCTACTTTGTGAGCTACTGGCATTAAACTTGTGAGCGAGCGATTTGGCTACTGCATAAACTAGTTTGCTCTGGAGCCATCCTTCCTGAGCTAAGGCAAAAATGTGTGAGCCAGAGGCTAAAAAACTGTGAGCTAGCTCACAGTAACTCAGCTTAGAGGGAACATTGACCACCACGGTACGAGAATCTCCCTGCCTACCCGAGGGACCACCTTTCCTCACATGTTCCCCAGAGAGCACTGAGGTCAGGGTCACAAAATCGCCTGACTCTCCCCGGTCCGAAAGATGCCAGATTGGCCGCTGCCAGGGCCTACTCAGTGGCGGCTCCACACTGGTGGAATGAGCTCCCGGAGGAGATCAGGGCCCTGCGGGACCTCTCACAGTTCCGCAGGGCCCGTAAAACGGCGCTCTTCCACTGGGCCTTCGATTAGGAGATGCCACTGAGAAATGAGATATTAAAAACTGAACTGTTACGGCCCTCACGTTGATGGCATTAAGAACAACTCGGATACTGGCTTAGCTACACTGGATCATCTTACAGCAATAGCCATCTGAGGAAGAAGAAGAAGAAGAGGAAGAGATTGGATTTATACCCTGCCCTTCACTTAGATAAGCATATGGAGCAGAGGTCCATCAGTGGCTATTAGCCACAAGGTATAGATAGGGGCTCTGGGGCAAGGGATGCTCTGTCTTCTTGGTGCTTGGGGGGGGGGGCAACAGTGGGAGGGCTTCTAGTGTCCTGGCCCCACTGCTCGACCTCCTGAGGGCACCTGGTCTTTTTGGCCACTGTGTGACACAGAGTGTTGGGCTGGATGGGCCATTGGCCTGATCCAACATTGGCTTCTCTTATGTTCTTATGTTCTTACCCAAAGGAGTCTCAGAGCGGCCGACAAACTCCTTTCCCTTCCCCTCCCCACAACAGACACAAAAGCTCACCTCCTCCTCTTCTTCCTCTCCCTTTTCAATTATCTGGAGCAGCTTCTTTTTATCGTCCTCTGTCTCCTCCGCTGCCACCGGAGCCTCCTCCTCCCGGTGCCGGACACGCTCCCGCCCGCCGCCTGGCTTGTGGCGCACTTTGACGTCCTCCTCCTCATCTTCGCGGGGCCTTTTGGTTCCTCGGTTGGGCTGTGGGTAGAAATCAAGCGGGTGAGCCAGGGAAATTCGTCTCCCCTACTTTGGGGGGGGGGGACCACAAAGGGAACTCATGTCACCACACGATCTCTGCAAAAAGGGGGGGGAGGGTACGAAGCGGCGGACGCAGTGAAGGAGACCCAGGTTCAAATCCCGCCCTTGCCATGACCACAGACCAGCCTCTACACGACATCTGCCACCCTGGGTACCATTGAGGAATGCAACAAATAAATATCATAAAGTGTTTCCAAGCTGTGGGCCCAATTGCGTCGTGTTGCCCAAAACACAGAGAGAGAGAGAGAGAGACAGACAGAGACAGACAGAGAGAGAGAGAGAGAGAGAGAAACAGAGACAGAGAGAGAGAGAGACAGAGACAGAGAGAGAGAGACAGAGAGAGAGACAGAGAGAGAGAGAGAGACACACAGAGAGAAAGAGACACACAGCAGGGGGGGAGAGATTAGAGAGAGAGAGAGAGAGAGAGAGAGAGAGAGACAGAGAGAGAGAGAGAGAGACACAGAGAGAGAGAGAGAGAGACAGAGAGAGAGACAGAGACACAGAGAGAGAGAGAGAGAGAGAGACACAGAGAGAGAGAGAGAGAGACAGAGACACAGAGAGAGAGAGAGAGAGAGACAGAAAGAGACAGAGAGAGAGACAGACAGACAGACAGACAGACAGAGATGCATACTGTGGTTAAAGCAGTAGTCTCAGGGGGGCACATGGCTCTGCCGCACTTCTTAGGAAACTCCCACCAGAAATTTTATTTATTTATTTATTGTCAGATTTGTACCCCGCCCTCCCCGCAAATACTTTACCTTTCCAAATCCTGGCAGCTCAGGAGAGGAGCTGGACAAATAACTTCTTACAAGAAAACCAAAATGTTTAAAACAATTCCAGCAGTGAACACAGGGAGGGTACAGTTCCGGTCACCACACCTTAAAAAGGATATTATAGCTATGGAAAAAGTGCAGAAAAGGGAAACTGGAATGATAAAGGGGTTGGAACACTTTCCCTATGAGGAAAGGTTAAAGCGCTTAGGGCTCTTTAGCTTGGAGAAACGACGGCTGAGGGGTGACATGATCGAGGTTTGTAAGATTATGCATGGGATAAAGCAGGGGGAGAAAGAGGTACTTTTCTCCCTTTCTCACAAGACAAGAACTCCTTGTGGGCACTCCATGAAATTGGTGAGCAGTCGGGTTAGAACAGATAAAAGGAAGTCCTTCACCCAAAGAGTGATTAATATGTGGAATTCACTGCCATAGGAGGTGGTGGCAGCTACCAGCATGGACAGCTTCAAGAGGTAACTGGGTAAACATCTGGAGCAGAGGTCCATCAGTGGCTCTTAGCCACAAGGTATGGATAGGGACTCTCGGTCTGGGGCAAGGGATGCTCTGTATTCCTGGTGCTTGGGGGGGGGGGCAACAGTGGGAGGGCTTCTAGTGTCCTGGCTCCACTGATGGACCTCCTGATGGCACCTGGTATTTCTGGCCACCGTGTGACCGAGTGTCCGACTAGATGGGCCATTGGCCTGAACCAACACTGGCTTCTCTTTTGTTCTTATGTTCTTAAACAATCCCTTATTAATTTTGTCTTGGAACATTCAGTGATCTTTGAGGATGCTCAGTGTGCCCCTTTTGCCTGTCTCCTGGAGGCTACCTGAAGGTCAACGAAAGTCGACTTGCTATGCCCTTACTGGGGCCAGAAGACGTGCTATCACCACCCTGGAGAGACCAATTCCCCCCCCCCCCCAAGTATTCCAAAGGACTGAGGACCTTACAACTTGGTCAACATGTGAGTACCAGTGTTCCCTCTAAGCTGAGTTAGTGTGAGCTAGCTCACAGTTTTTTAGCCTCTGGCTCACACATTTTTGTCTTAGCTCAGGAAAGATGGCTCCAGAGCAGACTAATTTATGCAGCAGCCAAATCTCCTGCTCACAACTTTAATGCCAATAGCTCACAAAGTAGAATTTTTGCTCACAGGGCTCCATAGTTTAGATGGAACTTTGGTGAGTACATGGCATATAAATGACACTTGCGTAAGGACATGCTTCTAGGTATCTGGAAACCTTTTATTGATGCTTCATTGCCACCACTGTTGTTACATTTACTATTTTTTTCCTGTTTGGGAGTTGCAGTTAAAAACAAAATTAAAGAAATGAATCAAATACTGTCAGAAGTCTGAGCAAAGAACATTTTTAGAGTGGCGCTTACGAAGACAAGCAAGGACTTGGAGAGAGGAGGCCCTGCGGCCAGAAGACAATAGGGCCAGTCTTCGGTGGGACAAAAAAAAAAACACCCTTTGAAAGGTGGGAGCACCCACAGCAGGGCCTCAAGAGAACAGGTGAAGACACTGGCAAGTATCCCCAAGTCCTGAGCCGTTTAAGCCTTTCCAAAGGTAAGAGCGAACACTCTGAATTCCGCCCACAAACAAACCAGTAGCTGGTGCCATCCTCGAAGGGCAGGCAAAATCTCAGTTCATTTTTATAGAAGGTCTGTTTATGTAGTATGGGTTTTGGTGCATTTTATTATCCATGATGGCTATTTTCTACTAATAGTATTTTCATTATTGGGATTCCTCTTGAGTTTTGTAATGTTATTTTGTAATTATCGGGCTTGTAGTATGTATGTAATGTTGAGATTTCCCTTTAAATATTGTGATGATCTTGTAATGCTGTAAGTTTTCAGTCAGGTCTAGAATCCAAGCCATTAGCCAGTTTGGTGTAGTGGTGAAGTGCGCGGACTCTAATCTGGGAGAACCGGGTTTGATTCCCCCACTCCTCCACTTGCACCTGGCTGGATGACCTTGGGCAAGCCGTAGTTCTGTCAGAGCCATTCTCACAAGATCAGTCTCTGTCAGAGCTCTCTCAGCCCCACCCACCTCACAGGGTGTCTGTTGTGGGGAGGGGAAGGGAAAGGAGTTTGTCAGCCGCTCTGAGACTCCTTTGGGTAGTGAAGGGCGGGGTATAAATCCAATCTCAGCATATAGGGTTCTCTTCTCTGATCTTCAGAACAGCCCTGTGGGGTAGGCCAGGCCCAAAGCACCTGAAGGACAATTTCCACTCACATTAACCTGCCCGGAGGCTAGGGAGGAGACCTGCGGGGCCTTGCGGGAGGGCTGTCTCAGGCCCCAGCCTCCCACCCCGGGTGCAAAATTCCCTCCTTCAGGAGGAGAGACCGACTCCCCCTCCCCTGCCTTCTGGCACCCATTAAGGATCTTTTTTTAAAAAAAAAAAATTCCGTGAGGCCTCCAAATGAGCTTGACAGGCGCTGCTCTTCCCTGATGTCTTTGTGCTGTTTTTAGCTCTTTTATGACATTCTAAATGACTGTAATTTTTGGTTGATGAGCTACCAGCTGCCTTGGGCACCTCGACGGGAGGCAGAGGGACCGAAAAGACAAATGCCCCCCAAGAAACCCCACATCCCCAGACAGCCAGGTCCTCCCCCCCCCTTTCATTTACAGGTCAAGCAAGAGGAGAGACCAGAAGCAGCCTGGTGGGAGACAGCAGCCATCTCAGAGATGCCACGGGAGAGCGGGGTTGCGGGTTACCAGCCTCTGGAACTGACCGACAGCAGCAGCAGGAGGAGGAGGAGACTGGATCTATACCCCGCCCTTCGCTACCCAAGGGAGTCTCTGAGCGGCTGACAAACTCCTTTCCGTTCCCCTCCCCAAAACAGACACCCTGTGAGGCAGGTGGGGCCGAGAGGGCTCTTTCGAGAACGGCTCCTGAGAGAGCAGCTCTGAGAGAACTTGTGACTGACCCACGGTCACCCAGCTGGCTGCACGTGGAGGAGGAGTGGGGAAATCAAACCCGGTTCTCCCCGATTAGAGTCCTCCGCTATGGACCACTACACCAAACGGGAACTGCCACACCTTGCTTGGTGCCTCTGTTCAAGGTGCAGAGGAATGATACAGAAAGAGACCCCCAGGGCAGGGGTCCCCATTGCGCTGCCCCCCCCCCATGGGCATTACAGAGCCCACCAAGTGTTTTTAGAAAAAGGGAGGGGCTTCTGCCCAGCAAGGCTTCCGATTGGCCACTGGAGATTTGATTGGCTGGGCGGATTTTTTAACATGTTGCTTTGGCAGCAGCTGCCACAACAGCACCAAGGATCGCCACTGTGTGAGTGGAGGTAAGCGGCGGCGGCCATTTTGTGGCTGGGTCAGCCTCATGCGGTGGCCATTTTGTGCCGGGGACCCCTGGCCTATGGACTGCCTGTGGAGAGACCCAGCTGAACCAACAGAGTTGCTCTCTCCGCCTCTCTCACCCAATATAGACCACTTTTCCCCCCAATTAACATTTTATGGAGAAATAACCAACAAGCAACACCATACGTACAGTGTGTTCGAACAGAATAGAATACATACTATGTGTAAAACAAAACACAGAACAACATACCCAGTTACTGAGTAAGTAAGCAGTAATCAGTCTATCTGACCTATATTGAATTATAGCTGTGTAATCACTTAGTGTGGAGCTGCGGTGGCTCAAGTGGTTAAGACGCTGAACTGCAGGCTGTGGAAGGTCAGTAGTTCAGCAGTTCAAGACCCGGGTGCCGCAAGACAGGGTGAGCTCCTGTCTCTAGTTCCAGCTCCTGCCAACCTAGCAGTTCAAAAGCAAGAAATTGCAAGTAGATAAATAGGGACCACTTCGGTGGGAAGGTAACAGCCTTCCGTGCGCCTTGGTGTTTAGTCATGCCGGCCACATGACCACAGAAACATCTTCGGACAGCGTTGGCTCTTCAGCTTTGAAACGGAGATGAGCACCGCAACCCTAGAGTCGGATTCGACTGGCTTTCGAGCAAGGGAACCTTTACCTTTACCTTTAATCACTTGTGAAGGTGAAGGTTCCCTTGCTCGAAAGCCAGTCTTTTTTTATGTTTCACTTAGTAAGACATAAAAACATTATATTCCAAGATCAACTACCAATTGGGGAATTTCCTCTTGAGACAACAAGTATTCCAGTATAGGTAACCATATAGAGGAAAAATAGGACTGTCTAG